TCTATCTATCTATCTATCTATCTATCTATCTATCTATCTATCTATCTCTGTCATCTATCTGTGGCCTTTATAAATGGATGCAGCACCTCAAATTGTACTCGGAAGCCAACTGGTATCCAGTAGAGCTTGCAATGCTGCACCCCATCACTCTCTGTCTTGCTGCATTCTGGACCGGCTGTAGATTCTAAAACAGGGGTGTCTAAATGATGGCTTCCTGGGGAATTCTGGGAGTTGAAGCCCATAGGTGTTAAAGTTGCCAAGGTTGGACACGCCTGCTCTAGATAGTCTTCAAAGGCAGCCCAAAGTAGATACCATGTTGATATTATTTCGACATTGCACTATATTCTTTATTTATCAAATTTATATGCCACTCATCTCACAGTACACAGTGACATTGAGAAGCTTACAAATTATTCTTGCATCATCTTAATCATTTTTCTTTGGAGCCCTCGGTGCTTAGAGTCAATTTGCAAACGAAGGAGCGTATAAGCAAGTCTATGTAATTAATTGAAGGCAATACGACGGACTTACAACTTGTCAAACTTTTTACAGTTTTGATGTAATCCCAGAAGGAGCATTCAGATTTTTTCAGTCCTTTATGGTTTGGTAAAGAAGCAGTAAACTCTTTGTAATTGTCTCCACCCGCGTCTGCACGAAACAAAGGCCAAGGCGAGAGTCCTTCTGGCCTCTTTCTTGAAAATTCATAAGGGTTATTTGGATTTCTGCAGAAAAGAACAAATATAAGTCTCCAATCTTATATTTGTCAAACACAGACAACTCCTGAAAACTGCCTGCAATTGCAAGGGTTAAAAAAAAAAGGTACATATTTTTTCTTGTGTACAAGGATTCCTTGTTTTATGACCTTAAAGGAGCCTGCCCATTAGGGTCATAAGTCTTGATGGTCATAAAGCAGCTCACCCATGTGACCGACCAGATGACCTTTCTTTTTCTGTGATTGTTAAGTAAATGCCATGGTCGTTAAATGAACCAATGGTTTATTTTGAATCTCCATTGACACCTGAAGTGGTAAAAGAGGAAGAGAGGAAGAAAGAAGGAAGGAAAAAGGGAGGAGGAAGAAGGAGGAGGGAGGAGGAGGAGGAGGAGGAGGAGAAGGAGGAGGAGGAGGAGGAGGAGGAGGAGGAGAAATGAATTTCCAAGGTCATCGCACTGGCTTTTGTAGAACATGAGATCACATAAATATTAATATGATAAATAAATGCCTATGTTCTTCTCACTGATAAAGGGACTATCATTTTTCCACCCTTGCAGTAATGCCTTCAGTTGGGTCATGACTGCTATCCTTTTCCCAGTTGGAGATCATAGAAAGATACAGCTAATTCTCATGATGACGTTGGCCATGACTTTGATGTCTCAAGGATCAAGACTCCCAAATTACTGGAGTACACACAGAGATTCAGAGTGGTTTCCTGATTGTATCAGCATGATCTAAATCATGCACAGCCAAATTATATGACATTAGCTGAACCACGGGAAAAGCTGCTCTCGTTCATATATTGCTCGTGATGTTTTAGTTCCAGTTAACATGGGTATAGTACTAATAGTACTCATCCTTCAATTTTCAGTGATCAAAACACTCAGCACCTACCCAGATTTTATAAAGTTGGACATCAAAACACTCAGCAACTACCCAGATTTTATAAAGTTGGATATCAAAATGCTCAGCACCTACCCAGATTTTATAAAGTTGAACGTAAACACACTTAACACCTACCCAGATTTTATAAAGTTGGACATAAACTTAGCAACTACCCAGATTTTATAAAGTTGGACATAAAAACTTTTAGCACCTACCCAGATTTTATAAAGTTAGATATAAAAACTTTTAGCACCTACCCAGATTTTATAAAGTTGGACGTAAAAACTTTTAGCAGCTACCCAGATTTTACAAAGTTGGACGTCAAAATGCTCAGCACCTACCCAGATTTTATGAAGCTGGACATCAAAGCAGCCAGCACCTACCCAGATTTTATAAAGTTGGACGTAAAAACTTTTAGCACCTACCCAGATTTTACAAAGTTGGACAAATACTGCATAATGACTAATGAAAGAGTCTTCTCTTCCTGCGTATATCGGTTTTTATACTGAGGATAAAAGGGTAGGCCAAACGCAAGCTGAACATCAGGAATATATTCCAGGCTTGAGCTGAAAACAGAAAGCAAGAGAGTGAGTAAAAACATTGTAATTTTACTTAATTTACTAAATAGCACTTCCATTTAAAAAGGGGGGGGGAGGGACACAGATATCTCACAGATTTTGTTTATTTTATTATCGTATTATTTGTTTATTTAATTTTGTTTATTTAATTATCATATTTATGATATGAGCTGTGGTAGCACAGTGGTTCGACTGCAGTACTGCTGGCTACTTCTGCTGACTACCGGCGGACTGCAGTTCGGCAGTTCAAGTCTCACCAGGCTCAAGGTTGACTCAGCCTTCCATCCTTCCAAGATTGGTAAAATGAGGACCCAGATTCCTGGGGACAACATGCTGACTCTGTAAACCACTTAGAGAGGGCTGTAAAAGCACTGTGAAGCGGTATATAAGTCTAAGTGCTGTTGCTATTGCTAGATAGCAGCCCATCTGATGAGAAGCGACTCCAGAAGGCACACAAGAAATAAAAATAGAAATACTATAAATATAAATAATAAAAGTCTCCAAGCTTTCAGGATACATTTTTTGAAAACGCAGACCTTTCCCTCTTGACCTTTTCAGGTTCCTATTCATTCTAAGTCACCACAATCTGGATTGTCATCAGGGATGTGGTTTTTTTTTTTTTAAATGCATTTGGCAAAGGAATTAAAAATAGAAGAATGGAAATAAGATTAAAACACTGTTTCTCATCTCTGAATATTCACACAAGGATTAGGCTGGGACCAAATTCAACCATTCTGTTTTTATAATAAAAACTCGGAGAGGAAAGAAAGGTTTTACAATTTATTCCTATGTTTCCCCTGAATAAATAAATCAAAGTCGTGGCTGAGAAACTAACTGGTTATATCAGGAATTGTAGCATGCTAAAAAAAAAAAAAAAAGCATGAATCTAACTACAGGCAATTCTTAACTTATGACCAATCACTTAGTGGCCGTTTGACATTTGAAGTTATGATGGATCAACTTTGTGGCCATTTACTACTGAGATTCAAAATTCCAATTGAATTTCAGGTGTTCAGCAACATGGATACATTTACAACCATTGGCAGCGCCCTATGGCTCGGTGGCTAAGATGCTGAGCTTGTCAATCAGAAGGTCAGCAGTTCGGCGGTTCGAATCCCTAGCGCCACGTAATGGAGTGAGCTCCCGTTACTTGTCCCAGCTTCTGCCAACCTAGCAGTTTGAAAGCATGTAAAAATGCAAGTAGAAAAATAGGGATCACTTTGGCGGGAAGGTAACAGCGTTCCGTGCGCCTTTGGCCGCATGACCATGGAGACGTCTTCGGACAAAGCTGGATCTTTTGCTTTGTAATGGAGATGAGCACTTTTCCCTACAGCCTGAAACAACTAGCACATATGTGCGAGGGGAACCTTCAACTTTATGGTCATATGACTGCATTTTATGATGGTTTTGTTGAAAACCAGAATTTATTTCTAGTTTTTTGCATTGGTTTGCTTAATGACTTCAGACTGGCTTCGTGACCACCACCCCACACAAACAAAGATTGTAAAATCAGATTGGTCACGTGACACTTTACTACTTATGACTTACGGCTATGATGAGCAGGCTCCATTATAAGCCATAAATTGAGGATTACTGGTATGACTATCATCCATTATAGTTGCTATAAGCAGAGATATATTGCATCTGTATAGGAGTCTGTAAGATTCCTTTGAGCACTTATCCTTGTAAAATATAGGCCTTACGTATCTTTCACCATTAGGGTAATTATGACTTCGATCTATTTACTTCTGATTTTACTTTGGTAAAACCATACTAGGAACACTGTATCCAGTTTTGGTCACCAAGATACCGTACAAAAATGATGTTGGGATTCTAGAAAGAGGGCAGAGGAAGAGCAAGAAAGACGATTAAGGTGCTGGAGGATAAAATATGGTGAATGATTGACAGAATGTCTAGGTATGTCTACTCTAATGAAGAGATGGATCAGGGGGTGACATGACAGCAGTGTTCCAGTAGTTCAAGAAGAGATTGGACTGCCATCTGTCAGAAATGGTGCAGGGTTTCCTGCTTGGGCGGGGGGTTGGACTAGATGACCTACAAAGTCCCTTCCAAATCTGTTAATCTAATCTAATCTAATCTAATCACAAAGGGGACGTGATTAATCTATTCTCCAAAGCACCTGAAGGCAAGACAAGAAGCAACAGATGGAAACTGATCAAGTAGAGATCCAATCTAGAACTAAGGAGAAATTTCCTGACAGTTAGAATAAGTAATGAGTGGAATTACTCGCCTCCAGAAGTTATGGAGGCTCCAGCACTGGAGTTTTTTTAAGAAGAGATTGGACAGCCATTTGTCTGAAATGGTATTGGATTTCCTGTATGAGCAGGGGGTTAGACTAGAAGACCTCCAAGGTGCTTCCAACTCTGTTATTCTATGTATCCTAACTCCAACTATATTGAGTTACAAAAATATATCCCATAAAGGAACTGTACCCTTGTGCTATATATAATACATATACAGTATAATGAACAACACAATGACACATTTATAGCATACCATGATGCATTTGTTAATCTTCAAAATAAACTACAAGACTCTAAATCAAACTAACATAAATATTTATTTGGGGATGAAAAAACAGATATTGAAGGTTAACATATAATGCTACATCACAAATCTTCATTGATATAGTTTAGATGTAACACTGTGCAATAAACCAAGATTTACAGTTCACCATAGTTAACCTTTCATACTGGCTGGTGTTTATTATATTTATGTTTGTGAATAGTTGGAACTCTTAACAAAATTCATTATATACTTTTAATTCTCTTACAGACCACGGATCTTAAAACTTTATTTCACCCTGAGAGTTGGCATTCAGACATCAAAAAAAAAATGAATTTTTTAATGAATGCCTCATGGTCTATAACCCATAAACTTTCCTCTTTTTTTCCACAGCACATTTCCAAATTTCATTGTTTAACATCGAATGATCTCATTAGAAGACGTTCAACTTGTGCCTAGAAAAACACATTGGGAAAGCAATAGAAGAGGATGTAAATTATCTCACTGCTCAAAAGCAGCGAGCCCTAAATTTTCATTTACAACCATATTTTGGGCGTGTGTCTGCACTAGTGTGTGTGAGCCAGGGTGAGGTCTTTTCTGCAGAAACAAAAACAAGAAGCTGCTATAATTCATTTATAATTCAAAAATGACCAGAAATGCAGTTAAAAATAGAACCGTTGATCTGGAATAAACCTCGTCTTTTTGTGCCTAATTCCCTGAAAATGTCTATTTCTGCCTGTCTATAACTGTCTGGTTTGGTTCTGCAACCCAACAAGACAGACACAGACTTCAGAGGATAAGTAGGACTGCAGAAAAAAACAATTACTACCAACCTGCCTTCCGCCAAGGACCTGTATGCTGCACGAGTCAAAAAGAGGGCTGTGAAAATATCTACAGACCCCTCACATACCAGACATAAACTGTTTCAACTCCTTCCCTCAAAACGACGCTATAGAGCACTGCACACCAGAACAACTAGACACAAAAACAGTTTTTTCCCAAACGCCATCACTCTGCTAAACAAATAATTCCCTCAACACTGTCCAACTATTTACAAAGTCTGCATTACTATTAATCTTCTCATCCCCTCCCGCTTCACAGCCATGTTACTAACTTAACAATTGTGGCAATTCACTTAACAACTGCGGCAAGAATGGTCGTAAAATGGGGCAAAATTGAACTTAACAACTTTCTTGCTTAGCCACAGAAATTTTGGGCCCAATTGTGGTCGTAAGTCGAGGACTATTAACTGTAAAAACAACTTAGTCCCTTCACTGGGTAGCAAGCTTCCAACTGATGTAATTTAACATTTAGATTTCTAGAAAAGGGGGAAAAAACAAAGTAAAATCAAAATAAAACCAACAGTTTGGCCCTCAAAATCAAGATAGCAAACTCTATTAGTATTAGTATTAATCTTCTCATCACTCCTTATCACCCATCCCCTCCCACTTGTGACTGTATGACTGTAACTTTGTCGCTTGTATCCTAACGATTTATATTGACTGTTTCCTAGTATTATTTGATTGCTAATTGTATATGACTATTATTAAGTGATGTACCTTATGATTCTTTACTCTTGATGAATGTATCTTTTCTTTTATGTACACTGAGAGCATTTGCACCAAGACAAATTCCTTGTGTGTCCAACCACACTTGGCCAATAAAAGAATTCCATTCTATTCCATGTTCTGTTCTGTTCTGTTCTGTTCTATTCTATTAACAAATGTGGTGATAAAAGTCGTAAAATGGGGCAAAACTCAGTTAACAAATTTCTCACTTAACGGTACAAATTTTGGGCTCGATTGTGGTCGTAAGTTGAAGACTACCTTTAAACATCAAATTTGAGGGGATTCGGGTTCGTTTTAAGCATGTTCTATTTGAAATGGTTATAAACATTTATGGAACGCGCAGAAATTCTACAATTTGGACACAGCAAGGGACGGTGGTTACAAGTAGTTCTTAACTTAGGACCTGGAATTATGGTCGTAAGTCCTGCCAGTTGTTAAGCAGTTCACCTTGTGATAACGCCCAACCTTTTTTTGCCACACTTGTTAAGCAAATCACTGCAGTCGTTAAGTGAATCCAGCTTCCCCCATTGACTTTGCTGGTTGGAAACTGGGTCATAAATCATCTGACCCAGAGAGGCTGCAACTGTCAGAATTGCTGGTTGCCCAGAGTCCACATTTTGCTCATGTGTCTACAGAGATACCCTGATGGTCATAAGTATGAGAACCGACCATAAGTCACTTTTTCCAGTTCTGTTGTGACTTTGAATGATTGCCAAAGGCAGTTAGTCATTTTCCAGATTAATTGGCTCTACCACTTTATCCGCTGCTGAATCGTAATGCAACCGTTTTGCAATTCTTTGCTACTTCCTTATGAATTTTTCACACTGTTGCAATATATCTGCAAATATTAAAAGTATCTCGGTAAAGCTAATGGGATAATTCTGTCTA